TTTATATGCGTGGCATCGGGGTGGCTAGAGTCCTCTCGTCCTCTGGCTTGAGATGGCTGCCACCTATGAGTCAGATGATTATCTGCCACCATTAAGCAATTAGTAATTAAATATTAAAAAAAATTCCCTAAACAGTGTAAAATGTTTGAAATTTTTGTCACGAAAATTAATTGTCACGCACAACGAGTCTGTGTGCAAAATGTCAGCTCGATTGGATCACGGGAGTGGGTTAAAAAACGACCGAAAGATTTGCACGGTCGTAAGCAAGCAAGCACGCAAGCAAGTGAACTTAATATAAAGGATTTAAAAAGACACGAGTCTACAATCGATGTGGAAGTGCTTTATTACAGATATAAGGAATTATGGTCCGTGAGCGAGAATAACAATGGAGTGGCACCTCCGATTAGCACGATTGACTACCTACAGTGCGAAATAAGTTCAACATACATACATACAAATGAGTAGATGCGACTCAAGAGTACGTCCACCAGAGAGACAGAGTAATGAAATCAGCTTGTGTGCAGGTGCTGGGTGAATTGTTACATTGCAAGAGAGTGAGACATGGCTTGGTGAGAAATTTACCCAGCAGCGGATGACTGATGAAATGAAATTGCATTTCATGCAGCACGAGATGAGGTCACAAGGCACATAATGTGATGTTGTGTGATGGCATCATGGATACTGATGGAATCGCAGAGGGCATGCATAGCACGTGATTTCATAACACTGGCCAAAAAAAGCTTTTCTGTTGAGCACTAGTATTTTAACGCCAGGTTTTTGGGAAAACTGTTGATCAATATGGCTGGTTTTATATAGGATAAGTTGCTAATAACATAACTTTATACAGTATTAAAAATGTTATTCATATTGGATCATCATTACTAGTTACTGTGGCATGCTTCTACAGACAGACGGACAGTTCTTGTGCATTATTGATCTACTTTAATTGGAAGAAATTAAATATTCATAAAATCGGAATCAGAATCTTTATTTCGACGATTACCCCCTCTCATTAAAGATTCACCTTTGATGATAAAGTTCCCTTTACGTGGATCAAAATATTCAACGTCGAAATTCTCCAGCATTGAAGAGATCTGAACCCCAAATCGCAAGGTTGATTTTTGGTTGCATCAAGTTCACATGGACAAAGAACGCACATCGGCTGTCAATGTAGATTTCTTTGCCTACCATGTACAGGGTGGTCCAGATGTCTTGTGACCCTCAATTAATTGGCCGCTAACATGTTTTTCCTTTACGCATTCATTTATATTTTAAATAAACTTTACTTGAAAAAAATAATACGTTATAGAGAATAAAATGTGGGGGTCACAAAACACCTGGACCACCATGCATAAAGGGCCTCCATGCTTCTTTGTGCACTTTTCGGTTTTTGTTCCCTTTTATCTTTCATATACCTCATATGTAACCGAACAAAAACTCAACACAGTCGTCAATAACACTGTTCTAAAATGAAAACAAAAATATTGCCAGCGTTTCAGCCAATGATCCTTCTTCAGTAAGCACACGGATATGGCCCTTTTTCAGAGGACATGGGCGGTCAGGCGACCCCTGCTGCCAGTCGAGGTTGACTACAGGCACCAGCAATCTGCTCAGACAAGACTCGCCAGCCCTGAATCGATTTGGGACCTTTGCAAATTCGTCTCGAGTCACAAGCCCAAGGGGCCGTCCATAAATGACGTCACGCACCTAGGGGGGGGGGGGTGAGACATTTGTGACGATGTGTGACGAGGGGGGGGGGGGTGAAAAATGTGACGTCACATCAAAATGCACAACTTTAAACAAATGTAGACAACACGTTCTACTTCATTAAATATACTTTTTAATACATGTTTCCTCCTACAACATCAGAGTGCAGCGCCACATTAAATACGCACTACAATGACAATAGTTTAAAGCGATTTGAAGCATGTTTAAAAAAAAATTGGGGGGGGGGGGGAGCAGAGCTTTGTGACGTCATATTTGGGGGGGGGGTCTGACTTTTTGCGACGCCGTGTGACGAAGGGGGGGGGGGTCAAAAATCGTCCAAAATCTCGTGACGTCATTTATGGACGGCCCCCAAGGCGCAAAGGGAGTGGGGTCAGCGCCGATGGCAATTTGGAGGAGGCGGTTGTAAATGTTTGGCGCGGGAGGCCTTCATCCAGCAGCGGATTGACCACGGACGATTGATGATGAATTATTGATGAATCGATGTGGCTTGGTGGTGGAGAAGGGGAATCAAACACCGTCACCGAAGTCTTCGGATTGGAAGAATCTCCCGAAAAAATAAGACCCACTCCAAACTTGTTCCCACTGAGTAATTTTTTTTTTTTTACAAATCTGACGACAGCCGCCGTTAAGCGACGGTGCCAGGCTAGGTGCACCTTGAGTGCCGTCGCCAGGTGACGGCACGAGACTCAGGCGCTATGGATTAACCGACTGAGACGACTAACAGATCTGACTCCCACACAGATTCCATCCCCACCCCCATGTAGCCTTTCCACGAACTATTGGGGAGCAAGTTGATGTTTGTTAATGAAGGGCCGGCACGGTGGCACACGAGAAGATTGGGTGGCCAACGGCACGCACGGACGTCTTTGTCTCTCCAGTGGCGATGCTTCCACGCAACACACACCAGGCACTCATTTGAGACTGAGTCGACCTCGGTGAGGCCCATGACCGGTCCAGATGTGACCTGTCACTTGGTGGTGGCCATGGGCGGGATTCGAATTCGGGTGGCCCAGGTTCGTGGCACCACCGCACTCACACGAATCGGATTATAAGACGCACCATCAATTGTTGCTTTCAAATATCGGGTGTACGGTGGAAACTGCATCTAATACTCGGGTAAATTCGCTGCTAGAGGTGGATGGGGCTGAGGAGGCATCATGGAAGTGTGTTGAACTTCTTTCACACCGTACATAGTCGACCATGCTCATCGGGGGTGGCGTGGGAGGACAACAAACTTAACACAACAGCAGTACTGAGCATCATCGTCACCATCATCATCATCGTCACCATATCCACCACCACCATCATCATCAGCAGCATCTTCATCAGCATCATCGCTGCCATCATCAGTCATCATCAATGTCATCACCATCGTCACCACCATCGTCACCATCAGCATCATCACCATCACCGCCACCACCGTCACCACCATTACCACCACCATCATCACCACCATCACCATCACCACCGTCACCACCATCATCATCAGCATCATCACCACCACCGTCACCACCACCATCATCACCACCACCATCACCGTCACCGCCACCACCACCATCGTCACCATCACAGTCACCATCAGCATCACCATCGTCACCGCCACCACCATCGTCACCACCGTCACCACCATCATCACCATCACAGTCACCACCACCATCATCACCATCACAGTCACCACCACCGTCATCACAGTCATCGTCACCACCGTCACCACCACCGTCATCGTCACCACCGTCACCACCATCATCACAGTCACCACCACCACCATCATCACCATCACAGTCACCACCACCGTCATCGTCACCATCACAGTCACCACCATCATCACAGTCACCACCACCGTCATCACAGTCATCGTCACCACCACCATCACAGTCACCACCACCACCATCATCACCATCACAGTCACCACCATCATCACAGTCACCACCACCGTCATCACAGTCATCGTCACCACCACCATCACAGTCACCACCACCATCACAGTCACCACCACCATCACAGTCACCACCATCATCACCATCACCACCACCGTCATCACAGTCATCGTCACCACCACCATCACAGTCACCACCACCATCATCACCACCATCAAAGTCACCACCACCGTCACCAGCAGCGTCACCACCGTCACCACTATCATCACCATCACAGTCACCACCAACCATCATCACCACCATCACAGTCACCACCACCGTCACCAGCAGCGTCACCACCGTCACCACCATCATCACCATCACAGTCACCACCATCATCATCATCACAGTCACCACCATCATCACCATCACAGTCACCACCACCGTCACCGTCACAGTCACCACCATCACCACCACCGTCACCACCATCAGTCACCACCATCATCATCATCAGTCACCACCATCATCATCATCACAGTCACCACCATCACAGTCACCACCACCACCGTCATCACAGTCGTCACCACCGTCACCACCATCATCACCATCACAGTCACCACCACCGTCATCACAGTCATCGTCACCACCATAATCACCATAATCACCATCACAGTCACCACCACCATCATCACCACCACCACCGTCATCACAGTCACCACCATAATCACCATCACAGTCACCACCACCATCATCATCACCATCACAGTCACCACCACCATCATCACCATCACAGTCACCACCACCGTCATCACAGTCATCGTCACCACTATAATCACCATAATCACCATCACAGTCACCACCACCATCATCACCACCACCACCGTCATCACAGTCATCGTCACCACCGTCACCACCATAATCACCATCACAGTCACAACCACCACCATCATCACCATCACAGTCACAACCACCGTCATCACCATCACAGTCACAACCACCGTCATCATCACCATCACAGTCACCACCACCATCATCACCATCACAGTCACAACCACCATCATCACCATCACAGTCACCACCACCATCATCACCATCACAGTCACAACCACCATCATCACCATCACAGTCACAACCACCGTCATCATCACCATCACAGTCACAACCACCACCACCGTCATCACAGTCATCGTCACCACCGTCACCACCATAATCACCATCACAGTCACAACCACCACCATCATCACCATCACAGTCACAACCACCATCATCACCATCACAGTCACAACCACCATCATCACCATCACAGTCACCACCACCATCATCACCATCACAGTCACAACCACCACCACCGTCATCACAGTCACCGTCACCAGCAGCGTCACCAGCGTCCGCAGTGCGCATGCGCGTCTCGCTTCCTGCACTCCGCCGCCTGCGCCTCGAGCCGCTCCTCCCCCCACTGCTCCCCTCCACCATCGTCATCATTGTTGTTGTTGTTATTGCTGCTGTTGTTGTTGCTGCTGTTCCCGCCTGGCTCCCACCCGGCTCCCACCGCTGCATCTCTCGCGGTGAGTGGAGCCCCACGCGTCTCTCGATCCCGATCGCCTTTTAACCGCGGCGAGAGCGCCAACATCGGCCACGAACTCGGTGGTGTTGTTGGGTGGTGTTGTTGTTTGGTGTTGTTGTTTGGTGATGTTTGGTGGTGGGTTTGGGTGGTGTTGGGTGTGAGGCCTTCATCCAGCAGTGGATAGAGAACGGCGGGCGTCGCTGCCCGATCACGATGACGGCAACGACGGGACGACCTCGCCGTGCGAGTGTCCGCACGAGTTGATGGCGAGTGGCTGTATCCGTCTCATCGTCGTGGTGGTGGTGGTGGCACCGCTTGTGACTGTCGGTAGATCTCGCTTGAACCTATAACACCTGGGTCAGTGCCGTGTACCCTGCCGGCGAGACACAGCCGCTCGCTAGACGTGACGGCCACTCCGGTGCACCTAGCCTGGCACCAGCGCCGCGGTGACGTCGGCGGGCGTACATCCAGTGATTGTTGTGGGTACCGTACGTGGTACATGGTGCACGGTACTCTTTGCCGAGTTGCATTTTATACGGTGTGCAACAGGTCTGGGGGGCCCTCCCCTAGGTCGACTCGGCTTTCATGGGCCCTGCTACTCGCTAACAGCACTTGCCCCAACTTTTGAGGCTACGTAAGGGGGGGGTCCTTTGTGTATAAAATTGTGTTTGCGCGTATGTTGCGTGTTTAATATGAGTGGTCTAAGTGCACAGTGTGTTTACCATACAACAATTTGCATGTCTATCACTGTGTCTTTGTTTCCGCATGGCTTAGTTCAAGTTCATGCATTAGGTATAGCCCTGTGAGCCATTCGGCTCTTGAATCGGGTGCAACCGCAACAAACAAAAACAAGGAAACATCTTAAAGGGAATATGTGACTAAGTGTAAACAGAAAATCCAAGAAAAGACAGCAAAATATTGCAGAAAAGAGTACAGTAGCCACAGGCTCTGGCTTTGCACCCCCTGCCGTCTTTGTCTTCCTTTGTAGTGATCAGTAATTGCCTTCACACTGGATGGGGAACCCGGCCCTCTGTCACGCATGTGGTGGCTCGAGATGGGGCCCTGGTGAAACGTGTGGGGGGCTGCCTGGTTATTGTCGGCTTCAGTGTTGTTAAGTTGGGTCACCGTTCTTTGTTTTGGTTGTGCCACTTGAGAACTGGGATATCTGATTATTTAAGGAGCTCATGACTCCACCGAGCATCTCTATTCGATTGTTCGAATAATCGGAAAACACGCAAATTGTAAACTAAAGTTAAACACGTAGGTGGCTTTCGCGAGCAATATTATTCATAACGTTTTTGGGTTCGATCGCGTTATTTATAAATGTGTCGTAACCCTCCACCACCCGACACGGCCAATCAGCAAAAGAAAAGTGTCACGTTGACAAAAGACAAATAGTTCACTACTTTAGCCCACCGGTGTGTTGAAGAGTGAAACCACAACATTTACAAATTTTGAGTAGTACGACGTTTCGCTGGTAATTACATCCAGCATCATCAGGCAATTCGCCAAAATTGTAAATGTTGTGGATTCACTATTCAACACACCGGTGGGCTAAAGTAGTGAACTATTTGTCTTTTGTCAACGTGACACTTTTTTTTGCTGATTGGCTGTGTCGGGTGGTGGAGGGTTACGACACATTTATAAATAACGCGATCTAACCCAAAAACGTTTATTGTAAACAAAAGGTGAATATCTCCCAACGTGTGCCGCTGGACGGCAGGTGATTAGCAGGGTTTTGTGCCGTCATAGACATTAGCAAGGTTATGCTGTGCGTGGCTTGGGGATTTTCCTTATCAATAGCTTGAAGCTTCGGTCATGAAAACAAGGTAGACAAAATCAGGCTTTTGCATGGATTTTGTAACGATTTACAAAATGAATTTAAATTAAACAGTTGTAATGACATTTTAGTGCTATAGTAAGTGGTTAAAATTAATTATTCATGTAATTACTCCATCATAAGTGATATTTTATTCCATACACCGGATACAACTGGAAAGCAACAGTGTGTACCTCGGCCAATTATATTATTGAAGGCGAAATAGGATAGAATGGTGAAATAAAGAGTTGGATGCAAGCAGGTTGGAGTACTTTTGAAAAACTTAAGCTAATAAAAGAAACTCACCAATGTGCTTAAGGAATACAGTTTTCATGAAAGCATACTACCTGCTATGACATGGATCAGAGAACATTGTCCTTAAAACAATTGTAACAAGCTGAAAGTGTGTAAAGAAGCATGGAGAGAGAAGCATGCTTAGGTTACATTGAGGCAAAGCAACAATTTCACTATATAGCACACTTAAGCTCGAAACATCACTTCGATCTTCATGCAGCAATGGATTGAGCATTACGAAGATGATGCAGGCACGGTGAGATGCAAGCTTGGAATCACATGAGACAGAAATGGGCATACATGGATCAACAGGTAACATGGATCAGGCAACAAATTAGAGACACTTGTATTGGTCTACATTCAGCAGTTGATGAATAGTTGTGTTGCTTCCGAAACGTCGTGATTTAATTTATTTGTTTTCATTTTATTTTTTACCTACGTGACTTTACCGAAAAAAACCAAAGAGTATAGATCCTTGCAGTCACGAAAACTTCAAATCTAGAAGGATGAATAGTAACTTGGTTCGACACCAATCTCGGCTAGTCCGGTGCCCAGGGGCATTCGGTGTCAACTGCATTTACGTTTAATTACAAAATAAATTACCTCACGCATGCTGCGCCTACCCGAATGATGTCGTGTGTGTATAATATATATGTCATAGCAAGTAACATACTCTCTCTGAAATGTTTTTCTTTTGACACTTTGGTAGATTGCTCTTCATTGCAAAGTTGTTCTCCAAGAGCACTCCCAACCTGCTCTCATCCGCCTTTAAAAGTAATAATTTTGATCCCAGTCCACCTTCAATAACTGATCCTGGTATATATATATACCCTGAAATGTTTTCCAATTGCTCTTCTGACATGTATAAAATTGTTTCATTGAACAATTTATGCGTGACCTTTGTTTTTGCGCATTGATCACGAGCCCCACACTTCAGTTTTCGATATGATATTCTTGTATAATTCCCCTTAATAATTTGCATTGGTTTGCTATTATAAGTGTCATACGCAAATGTGTATTTGTCTATTTTATATTTCTGACATTTTCTCCAAAAACACCTCGGCTGAGATTGTAAAGGGAGTACTGAAACATTAGACGTGAAGTCGGATAAAGTGACAAGCTTTCTGCAGAGTTACTAAGTCACGTGAAATGTTTGACACACATTTGCGGTCCGTTTGTGTGAAATTATTTTTTATGCCATAGTGTATTTTCAGGCTTTTAAGATGGAAGACACGGCAACAGCTTTAAAAACAGAATCCAGAGGTGCAGGTGGAACGAGAGAATACAAGATTGTGATGCTGGGACCTGGTGGAGTTGGAAAAAGTGGTAAGTGTAGCCGGTCTACCCTGTCCCTCTCCTCCCATCGTGAATCCTGCAATAATGGTCAGAAACATCCTCCACCTCGGCTCCAATTCCTCACCACAAAGTCTACCCAAATCTAAACTGGGGGCATGCCTCGTACTCTCCTGTGCACGTGGGGCTCGGGGTCCAATCCCTCATCAACCCATTGCATTCACTTCAATAATAGTAAAAAAAACCCACCAAACTCTCCATAGCTAGCAACAGAATGCACAAAGTATATGTGTGATTAATCACAGCTGAGCTTACATCAGCTACATAAGCATTTTGATAACTGAAAATATTTAAGCTAGATCGTCACACTAGAATTTGTAAAGTTATTGAAGCACCGCTTCTAGTGGACTTCCCAATTTGCAAATCCCCGTATTCACAGGAGCGAGTCGATCTAGAGTTCTTAATTCTATTCATAAACCCTGATAATCCATGGGTGAGATGGACACATTCATCTTTAACGATGTTGCTGCTACACTTAAGTTTATGCCATTTTTTTATTGAGTTAGCGTGGATTTGGGAAATGCTGCACATTGTGTTATGCAACCGTAGGGCTGAATGACCGTCTGTGATTGTCTCCTGCCTTGAATCAGTCTGGCTTTCCTACATATGCCCCCACACTACTGAGACAAAGTAATGTGGGGTCATAGAGTTATGGTAAAGGTAAAATAGGCATGACATTCTTCACCAGATTTAAACCTTGCTCCAAAAACGATATCTCCCTTGCTGATGCATGCAAGAGATATGTAATGCACATCACACTCGGTAATAACATGTTAGCGCACGTTTCTTATTGCACGATTGTGCAATTTAATGTGCATACCTGTATTCTGTGCAACTGCACAAGCATGCACAGCCAAGTGTATACATGGCAGCTGCAGGGTTGCATTTGTACTTCAGAGTTTTTTAGGTAAGCACAGTAATGGCACCAACATGCTCGAGCGTGCTTGTTCAAGTCCCGTGGAATCTTCTCCTACAAATCTCTACTGGAGCTTCAAGACAAACCCCCAAGTGTGGGGGAAATTCCCAGAGCACGAAGGTCTTATTTCTGCTCTAAATACAATTAGTGCAAGTGTAGTGAGTCCAACTGAGTCACAGACGTTATTATTTCGAGGCAACACATTTATTGTAACACGTATATACAAAGGGGTAACTGCCCCTTTACCAAATACAGCCTAGGGTGGTGACCACCCAGCTAACTACACTATATGGAGGAGTTACAGCTACGAAGGGTCGGACCCTCTCTCGTATCCCGGCCACGTGTTGATGCCGTGTAGGACGTAGAGCTTCCAGCTTGTAGGACGTGGAGCTTCCAGCTTGTAGAACGAAGCGACCCCGGTCCCTCTCAGGGACCCACCTTATATCCTCCCGGGTCGGGGCTGGCCTCCGCCCAGGCCCCGCTCGCCTTCTCGAGCGTTCTAGCTCCCTCTCGAGAGCTCTCCCCTGGACACGTGATCACCCCCTAGCTCCCCACCTGGGGCCTCCTCTGTGGACACTCCGGATCACGTGTCTACGGGGTCAACCAGAGTGCCATGGCCCGGGGCAACCTCTGTCCCTGGGCTGACACTCTCTCGTTCCCCCTTGTGGCAGCCCTCACTGCACGCTATGCGCGGTGCCCGCACTATCCCAGCGCTCACCAAGCCCCGCTAGGGCTGGTACTACACCCATCTACGGAGTGTACTAGATGACAGTGCATCGCACGCCGTGCTGTGCTGAGTCGGCCTCACACAGCAACCCACCCAGTGCTGTCCGCGACGTAGGAACATTGCACGCCACGGTCCTCCCGGGCCGGCACCATACAGTGACAACCTCGATGTCACTCCACAAACATTATGCGCAATGATGCTGTATTCTGTAGAAGTAATTGTTCTGCTTTGTCAGTGTAAATATTACCTGTAGGTCAGGATGCTAGTTGCAAACTTGAAGCCACATCTATTGAATGTCTTTATCTAAGACTGCTTGTATTTAATAAGAGTCCTGTAATAATTGTGAGTGCTCTTCACTTTTATTTGTCACTTGGAAAGTGCCAAGTTAAATAAAGTTAATGGTACTGATAGTATGGTATTGCAATTGGTTATTAATTGCAGTTCCCTTCCACAAGTACAAAATGAAGAGACAATATTATCAATACCTTGCACTGTATGGTTATGTCAATACCGGGATGATTAATTGGAGTGGGTGTTTCTAAATGTGGTCATGCTTGGATATTGAAAGTTTTTTTTTATTTCACACAGTACAACGTGTGCAGATCTTAAAGGCTAATATATTAATTTTAAGATTGGTAAAAAACAGAACCATTTTGCTATTAATGTGTTTCAATGGAGTACAATTTAAATACACGAGACCAACATGACTGTGTATTGCAACACTGTCTTGTTGATTTGTAGCACCATGGTATTTTAAAAGCAAGAATAAGTATGCTTGCGTGTTGACCTTTAAGAGTCACTGACCCTATTTGAACTTTCTTTGTCAAATGTTAAAGAGGAATTGCTTAACGTAACTAGGCAACAACCGTGTCATTTGAGACTTTAAACTTGTGTTGTTACGGTTTAATATTTACACTTGTTCTTCATGCTTTGATTATAACATTTATTGTGGCGTATTTGCTATACGCGTGCAGACTATTGTGTATAGGCGCAGTGGGATGGTCTAGTGGTAGCACGCTTGCCACTTATTGCAGAGGTTCATGGTTCGAATCCCACCGGTCAACCTGATTAATACTGCACCATATGCTTCACAGTGGATGTTATCCCTGAAGGTAATTCACAAGAGTAGGCCATTGTGTTGGCGAAATGGTACACATTTTCCAAATTTGAAAGATTACCTTCACGTAACTCATTTTGGATTATACATAGTAATCATCGCCCCCTCCTGCAAAACTTGGCAAGACCCTTTCGAAAAAGATTCATAAGGTTTGGTGATGCTTTCTTGGGTTAACAAACAGTATAACATCATTTAGGTGAAGATCAACAAATATCCTAACTTATAGAACCTAGTCTGTATGTGTTGATCATTAGCTGTGGGTAGCAGTAGTGTCGTGATTAGCACATTGCGCTACAAAACTAGCGACCCGAGTTTGATTTCCACTTATGGTTAACTTTGGGAACGAATATCTGAACTGGTCGTGGACCTTTCCTAGGTTGACTCAGCATTAAATGAGTACCTGATGTGTGTGTAAAAATATTTATTGGGGAGACAAAGGTGGTGCTGACCACTTTACCCCCTCGTAGTGCCGTGCTGACCTTAATAGGTGCTCGCTAACAACGCTTACCCCAAAAGTACGTTCGAGGCCAAATTAAGAATCTTTGTTTTAATAATTAGTTATGTCTGTTGACACTTCACTTGAAGAAATAACTTACAAACCTCACTTAATTATCATACAATGAATATTTCCACAGCTGATTGTAGTTTGTGCAGGACCGGGATTAATTTAATATAAAAATACTGCAAAAAATATGTTTCAAAATAGCATTGCTATAGCCTATTGTATCTGCTAATAGCTGAGCAATGGGTGTACTGTTTTTAGTCGGAAGTCTAGGTAAGTGGCAGACCAGCACAAAAAAGTAGGTTTCCATGCAAACACAGTGCCACCAGAAACACTTTCCACTTTGAATTTGATAAATAATGATTGAGGTTGACACCCTGACCAAATTAACCCAAGACTCATTAACGTTCAGAATTAATTACTGAGACTGGAAACAAGCCTCCAGTTTTAGAGTTGAGGGACAGTGTCCATAACTTACATTAATCTATGACTTGTCAGATTAAGTATCAAGGCTTTGGGCTCCATTAATATATATATTTTATTTCCTCAGTAAAGTGGAAAATTTATATTTGGATTGTCACAGCAGTTCGTTTGTGATCTGTGGTTATATTTATCATTCACAATATGCTATCTGTTGATAAGTGTTCAATTTATGAATTTGCTTCCTTTGGGAATGACACTCAAAGTACAACTTGGTCATGACAGGACAAAAGCAAGTATAATTACACAATTATGGTGTAATAAAAGTTGGGTATCGTCACATTTTATGCATGGACAGAAAAGTCACATTTTCCTATCATTAGTGCCTCATCAAGATATTTCATATAAATGTGAAGAAAATCTTAATTTTGCTGCCACATCACATCTGTGAGTGGAACATCCATGCTGTGTAATGTGTTTTTTTAAATCATCTTTAGAAGAGTGTAAAATGGCATGGATCTGAAATGTTTGGAAATTTGCACTAAACCAATTAAATAAAATTGGTGGCATTTGCCGTTTTAACATCCAATAGGTCACAGCACTTTTGATCTCTAACTGGAGACGCACGGTGAACCAGTCATTACACTGCCGTACATCATTGCAGAGTAGAGCAATTAACTGCAGCTCCCGATGTGGAACACTTTTTGTGTCCACAATATATGTAAGCTAACACTGACAGAAGGCTATCCTCTGTCTAGGCAGTGGGACCTCTGCTTGAGAAGAACCCCTAACTTGATTTCCCATGTGTCCATAAAGGCCATGGCACACTCGGACATTGTTAGAGCGATTGTCGTTGACAGTCGTCACAAGCAGTCGTAACTCACATTGTTTATTTACTATGAGCAACTATGGCAACTCGATAAGGCAGTAACAAGAGTGGCAGTTATGTCAAGCCAATGAAAACACAGTTTGTTGAAAGTGAACAATGATTGGTCTATAGACTGCTGCTCCTTTTGGCAACCGGGTGACGACTGTCTGTGACTCTTGATTGTAAGTTGCCATTCAGGTACCCACGAGGGGGAGTAGTGATCATTTGGCCAATCGATATGTGTATATGTTGAGCTTCTTTCGTACTGTATGAAGCCAACCTTCCTAATCGGAGGTGCGGGGGAAGGACAACAAACTAAACACAAAAATATGTTTACAATATGAAATAAAATGATGTGGCAACCATTGCAGGTGACTTTGCTGGCAACGGTTGCCCCAAAATTCCCCTCGTGTATTATGACGTTGAGGGGTATGATGCAATAACAAAAAAATCTCCAAATTGGCATAGAGATGAAAGGCCAGCCCATCCTAGTGTGATTCTATGCAGGCAATGTAATAAGTGGCCCTTACAAACTTGTGATGTTTCAGATGTATTCTTTCTCACCGAACTTAGCCAACTGTGGTAATCGGGGTGAAAGACTGCGGCATTACTCGGCTCATTTAAAATTAAGAAGGGTTGGTGAGGCAAGTTATGATTATAATACACATTGTTAATATTACAAGAAAACTTTACAGTGTAGTTAGAAGAAATTGCAGATTAAGGGTTGTCTTTCAGGTTATTTAAGTGAACCACAGTTTACCTGAACCATATGCAGAGCTATGGGCAGATGAGAAAAAATATGCTAACCTTTATGAATCATTCTAGATTAGAAGTTTTCATGACTGCAAGGATCCATACTCTTTGGTTCTTTCGGTAAAGTCACGTAGGTAAAAAATAAGAATCGAAATAAAAAATAAATAAAAGTAAATTAACTCACGATGTTTCGATTGCAACACAAGCAATCATCAGGTGTGAAAATCACAGCTAGAATTGTTTTACTAAAGTGGGAGAAATGCCAGGGCTAAGGACTTTATATAAGTGTGGACGTCAGGGACTGGGACCTGAGACTGTGCGGGGGGGGCTAGAAGTGAGAGGTTGAGGGAGCTGGAGATGCGTGGGGGGGGGGGCACAGCAACGACTGCAGTTACAGCCGATGTTGGCGCCCAAAGCAAAATAGCAGCAATGTTAAACGCTGGGGATGCAATTGACTCGGTAAAATAGACTCGTACCCGCTAAATAAGATGGGACAACTATGCGCAGAATAATAGCCATTTTCTATACTTTTGAGGCATAAGCAATTAGAAAATAGCACTTAGTACCCAGGAACTGAAATCGTGTTACATAGTGTATCAAATTCAGTTTCCCAGAAATGTTCCATTCTAATTTGGTTCACCACTTACATTGTTTTGATCATGATTCACCTTCTATTATTGCCCCAAGTATACTTATCCTGCTGTGTGATCAACTTTTGCCCTCTCTATAAGTTACTTACAATAGTTAATCACATTTGTTATTTATAACTTCTATCATGCAGTTCATCAATCATTGCCTGCAATATATTGAATGTATTTATGAATGTAATTTATTTTATTTCATTAGGAGACAATCTAGTTAACGGTACGTAAATATTATATTGAAATAGCTTTGACACATCCTTAACCGTGTGTTTACCCTGCCTCACAATGTACACCACTCATGCCTCGGCCTTTAAGGAAATAAGATTCACATGATGGTGGGATGGCACTTAGACTCTGGAACATAGTGGCCTTAATAACATGCTTTTAGCCTACGCGTGGGAGGAAAATTACATTTATATTGCCACTGATATTTCTTCGTCAACTGTCAAGCTGGAAAGCGTACAAAGAACCATTGATGAGGTGCATGTGTGGAATTTAAATGAGAGCAAGAGAAACACATGGTTGGCTATGTACGATGTGAAATACGTTTCAACAACCATATGCATGCAAATTATAAACAATATTAACCATGCAAAAAGTGGGATTGGGCAGGACACGTGACTGGAGGTCGAGGCTAATGCCAGAGTGGCATGCAAAGGTGGAACATGCTCGAGGAGATACCCACCATGGAGATGGAGTGCTGAAATTGGCTCATTGGCATATCACAGGACCTTGAGTGATTACAGTGCATTGGGGAGGGCATCATCCAGCAGTATGTAGCTCATGACGTTATGATATTGAACATTTACACTTTCGCGACCAATATCCATAATACAGGTTTTTTGGGTTAGATTGCGGAAATATATAAATGTGTCGTTAAACCCATCAATACGCGACACAGCCAATTAGTAAGGGTTGTTACGTAAACAGAACATGCCAATTCGTTACTAGTACAGCACACCGGTGTGTTGGAGAGCCAAGCCACAAGATCAATGGGCCCACAGAATGCGCATTAACCCCCCCCCCCCCCCCACTTCGAGCAAGAGAGCGCACAAGGGTGGTCAACACATCCACGCTTCTATTTAAGGAACGAAACAGGTGGACATCTCCACAAATCTGGCTGTCGCCTGATGAAGCTAGTTGTAATTACTGGCGAAACGTCATACTCAGATTGTAAATGTTGTGGCTTGGCTCTCCAACACACCAGTGTGCTGTTATAGTAACTAATTGGCATGTTCTGTTTATGTTACAACCCTTACTAATTGGCTGTGTTGGGTGGTGGTGGTATGCGATCTAACCCAAAATAAACCTGTCATGGATGTTATGATATTTGTTTAATTTGCTGTGCATAGGGATTTCTAATTACATTCATGATTTACTGCTCTAACGTTATAATGCAATGCCGTGTACTTGGATATCTTGATTCACCATTTGATTTAACATTCTCCAAACGTTTTCCTTTTAAGCATTTTGCAACTTTACCAAATGTATCATAACCATATACTGCATATGTTTAATATGCTACGCTCTTTATTGAAGTGCACATGTTTCCTTAGTTACTGGTTGTTGTATGGCTTGCATATTTCTTGAAGACACAGCAACTTTATATAGCAGAATGGTATAGTTCTATTTATGTAATCTGTTGTAAAAGGACTTCACAAAACTTGAAATGGGCTGTACAGTCTCCACGATTAAATGGTGTACTTTGCTGTGATTAAGGTATACATCAAACACAATGAGAACTGTGGTCTGATATGGCAATTGTACAATTACCAAGGCCATACTCATTGACAATTTGTGAAAAGTAGGTGCCCAGAAGGTTTACCATTAATCGGAAGTGAACCACGGTCAGGCATAGGTGCTCCTGAACCATTACCAATGATATTGAGAACAAGATATCGCCAGTTTTGTGACAATGGATAAAACATGGGTCCATGATTTTAATCTGGAAATTAAAGCTTTGAATATTGAGTGAAAACATCATGGATCGGCTCTACAAAGAACATGCATACCGATGAGTTATTTAGAAGAGAGAGCAATATTAATGAGGGGCACAATTTGTAAGTTATGCAGTATACAACTCCTATTCTGTGATTGTTGCAAGTGGTTAATTTAATTGAGAACAACGTTAGCCAATGCAGTCAAAGAAAGGCGAGGAAAGTTTTGATATCATCTTCAACCAGGATGTCACTCTAATTTGCACAATTTGAGTTGCCATGGTTGGCATTCATGATGTTGGATTAAAATTGGTTCATTACCTTTCACAATCACCAGACCCAGCTTCAAGAGACTTACACTTTTCCATTGTTAAAAATAAACACTTGCAGGAAAATATATTTTTAGTGACAATTAAGCAATGTGTGATTGATGAATGGTTTTATGAGCATGACAACGTTCTTTTGGCTTGGGGATTAAAGGACTGGAACATCAGTGGACCAAGTTCAATGTACACAGGGAAGATGTATGAAAATAACACAACCATATTGCGATCCGTTGTGCATCAGATGTCAAGCTGCAGACATTTACACCTCCCCTTGTGTATACTGTGCGTATGTTTCCATGGTTCATTTTGAAACGTGGACTAATAAATGTGTTTCTGTTGCATTTGTTGGTGTGCAATGCATTAAATTGTGCATCGTGAAAGTGCACTCTGATGATGACCGCTGGGGTGATCTACATCTAAAACTGGAGTTAATGGCATAGAGTGATTATCAGTAAAAACTAAAATAAGTTGGCAAAACATGACAAGTGGAAAAAAAATACAAAGGGAAGTATCTTCAATGGCCAGTTATGCCACAGTGTTAGTGGTCGACATTTTTCAAGACTTAAACGAAACAGAACGTGCATTCAATGCATGGATTTTCTATATATCAAATGAACTGCATGTTATGCGGCAATGTTAAACATCTGTCTCTTGATGGCACTGAGCTATGGTGAAAATTACCCTTTTCAATGGTTGTTACCAGTCTCGTCATTGAACAACCACTATTAGCTTACCATAAAGTTGTAGTATTTTATTAAACCTGGAGGAATGATGGAATCGGTTTGACCGACTACAACCCAGAAACTTAAAATGTTGTTCACCAGTTCTTTCGATTGCATCACCCTTTCGGATTACATAAATGCGAGTCACTGTGTTTACTGTAATGATGTGCCAATGTTAATGAGTCATTGGCTAGAGTTATTAAAATACAGCTGTGTTCTGACTACTCTACATTATTTTTCTTCAGCAATGACGATGCAGTTCATCAGCCACCGCTTCCCTGAAGACCACGATCCAACTATCGGTAAGGACATTTACGTTTACGTCTTGATGTTATAACCACGATATATTTACAATTAAGGCAAAGAGTAATTGTGTAGACCACTTGACCTACACAAGAGCATAATGCCTTAACTGGTGCAATTCAGACCAGGTCGCATTTTCGGTATAATATTTGACTTTCAATAAAACATTCAAATCCCATTCACCCAGTACGAAAGCTTCAAATCAAATCAAGATTGGCTTGACACAATTATTACCTTATGGGAACTCGACAGTGGATGACTTACCTTGGCAGATACCAGCCCGGCGAAGATGCAACATTCCCAGATGGTTAAGTAGTAGGTGGTATTGGATAGGAAATAGGGGTCACGTTCTGAAGACTGGTGGCATGGGTCCCCCAAATATACATGCATATTTTTTTGGCAGGACAGCTCAAATCAATGAACTGCTGGTGTATGGAGGAAAATAAGTTGCTATTGGTGGTAACAGAGAGGATAACCATTGTCTTCACAATACACTTTCAACATTTTACTTTACAACACTGTCCACTGGGTTGAGAGCTCTACACCTAGCCCCTTCGCTCGAATGCAGAAACCAAATTACCAATAGCCAGTTAATGAGACACACAACTCAAATGATAAAGCTCTGAAATTTTTGAAAACAAACAGGCATCAGTCCATTATCTCCATTAACAGCCCATTTTGCGAATAGGGAGCTGTGTACTTAATAATGGTACATGGTCTCATTGTTCTGGCACATGGACAGTATTCTTGAACTATGAATTATATTTAAACACTTACTACTCCATTTTAGTAGCTGCAAATGAAAAATTACGATTCCTTCTATGATCATTAGATGAAATGCTTTTCTTACAACCATGTGGATATCCGAAATGTATAGTAGTCTTACATTTTTGGAACAGTAATCATATCTATAAGTCCAGAAAGTAAACAATTGGATGGATGATGATTTTTTTTTTATAATGGCATCCATCTCATGATAGATTATACATTTCAATACCTTACTCTTCGCTTACTCGAGTTCATCTTGCTAGGTTTAGACCACTCTTAACCGAGTGCAAGAGATGTTCAAAAGGTGCACCGCGTTACTTTACGCATTCCATTGGGGTCTTGCCCTCTATCTTAACAGCAACTGGAAGAGTGTGTATCAAGACCACTTGATCATAACATCGTACCCTCCCCACAGGTAGCCTGTTCTCGGAGAACCCACAGACAGTACGCGAGCTGAAGACCATGCATCATTTGCCTCCATTTCAGTGCTTGTCACAATAGCCCCTCCCCGTCTCTGGCAGAGTTACGGAGGAACGTGTGTGGCAACTGCAGAGTACCTCGCCCACCTGATTAGGACACAATCTCTGCCGTCAAGGCCATATGAGCTCTGTTCCTGGGCCTGTAAATTAATTTGTGTTGCTGCCAATATTTTACTTTACAGTTCTGCAAAACGTGCTTTGTTGGCCTTCGGTGTTGGTATGTTTTGTGTGGAAATTCCGTAAACAGAAACTGTAATATGCAGTTGTAGGACAATGTAAAATTGAGTTGTGATGGGTGTGATAGCCTTGATACATGTGGGGAGCGGTAGTGTAACGGTTAGAATGCTGCGCTACGAACCTGGTGACCCGAGTTTGATTCTTGCTTACGGAACTGGTCTTGGTCCTCCCATAGGTTGACTGAGCCTCAGATGAGTACCTGGTACGGTGCATAAACATCACCACTGGGGAGATAAAGGCAGGCCAGCGTAGTGCTGGCCACCCACCCCCTCATGCGCCGTGCCAGCCTCCATAAGTGCTCGCGAACAGAACTTGCCCCAAAAGTCTGTTATGGCTATATGGGGGGGGGGGGGGATCTTGTTCTTTGTTGTTGACATGTGAAATGTATAGCTCAGTATTTAATCATGTGAATGTCTATGTATAGCCCTTTTTTTATAAAACAAGAGTATTAAAGTGAACAAGCCTCCTGTCCCAGCAAATGTTTGTGGTAACTGACCTTATGTACTTTGTTTTTATAGAGGATGCCTATAAAACACAAGTCCGCATTGATGATGAAACGGCACACCTTGACATTTTGGACACTGCAGGACAAGTAAGGCAAACATCATAATTCTGGCTATGTTTTTGCACTGTATAGCCATTGTTTCATTTCCGCATTTTCAGCCAAGAAGTAATAAGAGTAATCCGTTGCCTATTGTTCCGTGTAAGAAATATGGTAAATGGAGAGACAGTAGTCTCTCAAAGGCTGTATGCCTGTAAGCCAAAGGATTGTTACTTTAGTCATCATGTTGCTCTGTAAGCTGTAGTGGGAAAGATATAGAAAAATCAAAGCTTTCTACGCATGGGACATTATGTTTGTCTTTTAATAGACTTGCCTGCAGGCTTTTAGAATGGACCATTTTGGATACTTTGCCAGAGGATTGAAAACAAAATATACTTACGGGTTTTTTTTTCCCTTATGGTACTACCTTTACAGTTGTACAGTACAATATACTTATAATGGTATGACCTTTTACGAGATCATTTTGAAACCTGTTATTTTGGAGAGAAAGAAAAATAACTTTTCTGATTCATGTTTAACATTTACAGCAGAAGGCATACACTGTCATCATTCCATGACTGGTTGACAGAAGGATTCAATTAATCAAACTTATGCAGGGTGTCTTAGTACGAATGCACGTCATATATTGTTTCATTTTATATGAATGACGAACATTAAACAGTTTACTTTGCCATTTCATTTTCCGTTAGGCGGAGTTTACAGCCATGCGTGACCAGTACATGCGCGCAGGCGAAGGATTTATCATCTGCTACTCCATTACCGACCGCCGCAGTTTCCAGGAGGCTGCTCAGTTCAAACAGCTCATCTATCAAGTCCGTCACACGTACGAGGTTCCTGTGGTGCTTGTGGGCAACAAGACCGACTTGGGAGAAATTCGCCAGGTGAACAAATCACTTAAGTGGCATTTAACAAACATTAACTACGTGTTAAACTCAAATGATCAAACTGAATTTGTGCACCTAATCCTATTTCAGGCTCATGTTTACTGATCATAAAGTTTATTCCAAGAACTAGGTGAACCATGGATAGGTACCCTACTGAAATAGTATGGAGAAATTATACAGGAAACAGCAACATTTTTCAATGCCTCTTCATGTCTCCCACCAATTCCAATGCACTTAAAAAATATATTTTCCACTGTTCTCTAACACATGGGGCAATCGCTTTCACACATTCAATCTCATGTTGAGAAGAAATAAGAGGGTCATTAGAAATCAGTGGTATTTTTTAAATCAAATCACCCTTTATTCCAGCACTTTTATTATTTTGGTGGAGACTGAAATATGCAGAATCAGGATATTGGAAGTACAAAGATGAACTTTTTTGTAACAAAGTATCCATTAGATTAACTAGTGTTTCTTCTCTTACCTTTTTTTAAAGTCCCTTTTTACTCACGGTATAAATTTAACAATGCCATATAGACTTTAATCATAACGATTCACTAGCACCACCACATCAATACATGTGCAATTCGGCATCAGATTTTAGCAGCATTTTCTGGCATAAAATAGGATGAATGGTATTGCTCTATGCCTAAGTGGATTTTGTGTGCCGTGACCCTGTGACATGGCGTATAGATGACAGCCTGAGCTATTTCCGAGTGTTGAGAGTGGGGCGATAGATTTGTCTGCTGTTTATAACCAGTATTTATTCTTTTGGATGTGTGTGCTTATAATGAAAATCCACAAAGGGGAAGTAAAATGTGGATGTTTTTTTCGTTGAAAAGGAAAATAAACTCGTGTTTTGGTGAATATATTCCATTGCCAATTGTGCAAGTCAGCAGACTTGAATACATTTTTGTCAGCATTCAGGAGCAGACCAATTAGCATACATTTGGTAAGTGCATGTTTCCAGAATTGAGGCATTTAAATCATTACATTGTAAATGACATGAGGTCTGTTAATGATCCAATGAATAAAAAAAAAATGTACGTACACAAAGTTGTCGAATGAGAATATTCAAATAAAACAATATACTGGAAAATGAATAATTGTGACAACTGCATCTGCAGATACACGAATACATTGTGCATTGCACATTTGCTCACATTCATGTGCTTGTGGGTGTGCTATTTATGCAATGATGTTTGTGGTCGTGAATGGATAACTTAACCCAGGCCTATCTCAAATTGCTCTGCATTCTGCAGGTCTCGCAGGAAGAGGGCCGATCACTGGCACGAGAGTTTAGCTGCCAGTTCTTTGAGACGTCAGCCGCGCTGCGGCAGTACGTGGACGAGGTATTCTACGCTGTCGTGCGGGAAATCCGCCGCAAGGAGCACGATGCCATGGTGGCGATGGAGAGACGGTCCAAAAGGAAGGAGAGCCTTTGGAAAAAGCTCAAGGGCTCCCTGAAGTCTAAAAAGAGAGAGAACGTCACATGAGTTTCACAGGTCGCATATGCCTTCAGCGGCTGAGGATATTTACACCTCGCAAGCTGGCACTAATCTCTATAAATCATAGGTTAGACTCGTGCACTGTGGCTTAATGTGTTTCTCAATATTTCATCAGGTTTTGTTTGATTAGTTTGAGGTGGGCTTGTTTACGGCACGTGGAACGGTGCCACGTACCGTGGAACCCGCATAATATCCAATTTATGACTATCATTCACCACCCTTACACACATCACTGACTTAAACATCTGTGCTTGATGCAAAGTAATGTTTAAATTATTTTTCTTAAAATTTTAAAAGTCTGTCTCCTCGCTAATGAGCGTGGGGAAGTGCTCGTCTCGCTTTTGGAAGGTTTGAGGCAGTGCTGGAACTTTCAAGACAGATGAAAGGCCAAGTCTATTCTGACCCAAATGAGCAAGTCGCCCAGTATGATAACTGCGGCGAATAAAAAACGAAGTGTTATACCTCCTCTTGGAATATATTGAAAAGAGCTCAAGTAGGAAAACACGAATTGATTTGAATGAATGAGAATTGGTTTCGATTTAAAGCTTTCGTGACTGCAGGGATCCATCTTCTTGGTTCTTTCGGTAAAGTCACGTAGAAGGGAAGCAATAAAATAATAAAAATAAAACATAATAAAATAAAATAATTCTCACCTGAGGACGGCTGCTTGCGTTGTGGCCGAAACGTCGTGAGAATTATTTTATTTTATTATGTTTTATTTTTATTATTTTATTGCTTCCCTTCTACGTGACTTTACCGAAAGAACCAAGAAGATGAATGAGAATTGGTTTACGTCCCTAATATAGGCAAATTCTTAACCCTCCACCACCCAACATCGCTAAACAAATCACGTTTATTTGGCTGTGTCAATTGTGAATATTATTATTGGCCATGAAATCCTGTGATAAATGATATTGTTGTGAGACAGAAAAACATCACTTCATCTCTGATAGGCAATGACTGTTCTAATATTTGCACTTTCATCTTAGTGGCATTTGTACAATGATCATGCATTTCTCACCCCATTTAAATCACATAATGTCTTATTTTGAAATCTCGTCTTGAAAGCTAAAATGAATAAGAATGAAACATACCTGGTGTGTTTACATAATAATGGTCACACAGGTTTTCCAAAAATATACATACATCTGTTTTCCCAATGTGTAGAAGGTCACCTGTTTTGTGGTGAATGTCCCCAGAAGTACAAGGATGACTTTGCATCAAGTATGGGTAGCTAACTACATTGCATTGTATTTGGTCAGTGTGAAACTTTTTTTGGCACAAATACAAGAGTCTGATGTTAAGGGGTGGTGGGTGCTGTCGATTTGAGGGTATTTTCCTGGTTTGTAATTTTTATGATCACGGAAGTTAACCGCCAGTTTACTTTTAGGACATCCTTTCAACTTAAATATTGACTTGTGCTTAGAATCACTGTATTGCTCATTCAACAGTTGTGTTTATTTATATGACCACTTAAAGTAAATTATAAAGCAAACCAGAATACATTATTTGAATTCAAATTTGCAACAACAAAAAAAAACGTCAAAGTAGTCTTTTGGACATTTACATTTCCTTAAACTTGCCTTATGTTTACTGTAGCTTAACAGAATTAGATTTCAAAAGTTCAGCTCGCATGGTTGTTCTCACTGTGGGAAGGGTAACCCGCTTGAACGTGATTATATTTGGTTTTCTTAATATGATATTTTATAATCCATTTACCTTCATGTAGACATGGTAGGGCAATTTATCACAACTGGACACCTACTTTTTTATTCCACGTTATGATCGAGTTGCATACAAAACTGATGACATGGTAAAACAAACTGCTGATAATTTCACAATGATCTGTAGATGTTACAGTTGGAGCTTATTTATTTTGTTTCAGGAATGAAAGGCTATTTTTTTTAATATTGCTCAAGTTGTACTTATTTATAATCCATTTATAATTAAACACATTTAGATGTAAATGCAAATAATTACTAACAGACTAATACCAAAAACATGTTAATGTTAATTTTAGTCGGCACTCTCTAAATTTCAAAGTTTGTCATTTATATATATAAATAAAAAAACGTACAATTAAAAGAAAAAGGTGATTCCATTACAGCAAAAGTATTTTAAAATTATGAACAAATCCTTTAGCAGTGACAGTTAAAGTTATTGTGGACTATGATATGCTTACATATTCAGTCCTTCAAAGCATCGTCATTAGTTGAAGATTCATGATCTTGCTCCATATCGTTAATTTGCCATTTTTAATTAACCTCAGGTCTACGTTGCAAAGCAAAATTACAGTTGCAATACAAGAGGTTGTAATAAGTGTTATTTAAAAAAATCACCACCAGTCAAACTGACAACTGGAATGGGGTGTCCAGAACATGGTATCCAGAACATGGTATCCACATCATGTTAATGAAGACCAATGTTCATATCACCAAGACTGTTTGCAAATGGTAATCATGTTAACTAGTCCTCTCTGGTTCTTTCGGTAAAGTCACGTAGGTATAAAATAGTGATTTGTTTTATTTTCTACCTACGTGTATTTACCGAAAGAACCAAAGAGTATGGATTCCTGCAGTCACGAAAGCTTCAAATCAAGATTGAATGTTAACTAGTGTTCAAATGCTTGTAGTACAGGTTACATGATGCATAACGGAATCAAGAATGCATTAGAGGAAGATTCAGTGTGGTCAGGACTGTCTTAAATACTCCTGCATGAAGCTTAACAGGAGGAATAAGTAGCCTGGTGAGACCTTCCATATCAAAAGCTGGATGTATTCAATTCACTCAAATGCCTGTTTTCTAAAATGTAAATATTTGATTTAAATCCCAGTTGATGACGTTTACAAAATTGAGTCAGTGGGTCAATGACCAGAGGGTGACATTTGTAATGTTTTCTTCCAATCAACTGGAACAAATGCCAGCCTACGTTCATGTATTGCATAATAATACAATTAAGAGTCTACCTACATTTGCCTTAAGAGCTATTTTTTAGCCTGTATATGGAAGCTATTATTGTCCTTGTGGTTTAGAAAATGATGTATGTTTGGGAAATAATACTTTTTTTAATAGCAGCTTTGTCTAGAATCTATCAGTAAGAAACAGTGAGAAAATGATCACTTGTTTGAGTAACTTGTCGTCACCCATAATACTATGATCAAGCAGTTTTCCATTAACATTTGTATCATGTTTAAATGTGCACAATTTCCAAAGTGCATAATTTAACAAATAATTAAGCTGTGGCTGTTTTTTTGCCAGCACACATAGTGAAATAACTTATTTAGGTGCCTTTTCAATGGGGGGCAGTAAAGAATTATTGCAATAAAAAAAAAGATACTGTAAGTTAATTGCACATTTTTGGTTTTAAAATTCCTGCATAAAAATAACATAAAAATAACATTAAAAATAGGCCAACACATAAATTAATTAAATTGAGAGATTAAAAGTTTCAATGTGCATTGTATTACATGTTAGCTTCATTATATTGAGTAAATAATTAACCGCATTATTATCTACTTTGATTTAAAATAGGAAAAATATAAAAAAAAACTCACCCCTAAAAAGTGGTTGTTTTCAGGATGAAAACCAAAAACGGGTAATTATGGACATTGAACACTGTTACTTGGTAGCTGTTTCATGCGAATCGAGATGCCATCGTCTGTTTTTAATTTGTGTCAAAGCTGTTGAAGCCTGTTTTACAGTTCTAATAAATGTTTTTTCATTTTGTCTGTTAATACGTCTCGCAAGCGTTGTGTTTACAGTTTAAGACGTGCAATTTTGTTTTAGTCAACTTGAAAATCGTCTTTTTTAAAATGTAGCACAAATGCCATACAACATATAATTCTGCAAGGATATTAAATGAAGTGCACAGTAATACTTTACAGACCTTCTGTTTATCCACCGATGAAAGTCATCCCAAGTTCTGTTCGGTCGCAAGGGTTGTTTAACGATGTTCACTCCCATGCTGGCCAGTGCAGGCTGGTGAAGTGTGACCCCAGATCGGTTGAGAGGGGGGGGAGATACCTTCCTCATCTGTACTAAAGTGTAACCCATCAACATTTATAAATTGGTGGCCAATTCAAAATGTGCCACTTTAGGTGTCCATGCATTGTTTTGTTCAGAGCAGATTCATGGTAAATGGGATAATGTCCAGGATCTGCAGTTATAAGCTTGCATATGATATATTTTTGTAGCCACGCAATATTTACTATGTATGCATCAGTATATGATGTACCTTTTGAGTAGGATGTTAAAAGTAAGCGTGACTTATTCATTACGTGTATGATGAACTTCTTTCGAACCATACATAGCCAACAGTGATAACACTGTAACAAAATTTGTGTTCCTATATATTAACGCTGTTGTCTACGTACGGTGCGAAAGAAGTTCATACATTCACACTATGTTACCTATAAAGAGAGCAGTGCTTAGCGACCAACTATTTCGCTGTACAAGTGTAGACGGAACACTTAAAGTTTGTATCCTCATGTTCTACCCTTGTGAGTAATGAGCCCTGTCTGCCTGAGTGGTGCATTTCAGACTGCAACATGGTCTACCGTCCATTTTTGCGCACAGACCACCACATCCTGTCCTGCGTATCAGTGCTAAGCCTGTCGGCATTGCCGCAAATAGAATTGGAGGTCAGGAGCACCAGATGGCAGAAGTCTGCTCAAGCCGTAAAATTCCCTCGACTCTGATTGGGAGTTTTTTTTTTAAACCTGGCTTAAAGGTGACAACAAAGTCCTGCGTGTGGACTCATTCGTACTTGAACTACGGGATAATCATGGTATAGGGCAGCCAACTCGCAGCATCAACGACGACCAATGCCCTTAGGCTTTTGGGCTGCAGCAAAATCCAGCTGGAGTCACCCCAACAGCGGTAGGCATGGCCTGGTATACTTTAGCAACGCATTGGTCGGTGCAGATGGTATTACAAAGTCTGAAATCCCAGGTGGACCGTGCTTGTCCCGATTCCACACTGTTTAGAGAAACGCAGTCAACAGATGAAGGCTTTGGTCGGGCTCCAGCCACGAGCCACATTTGGTGGGGACCCGGTCGTGAACTGCACCCTCACTTCCGATGTGGGCTGTGCTAATTTCTGCACCATCACCAAGCTTCCTTTACAGAATTACCTTAATCCGCACTTGGGTTCAACCACACTCGCACAAGGCATGACTGTGGGCCCGGCGTGTCCACGATACTTTTACCTGGTGGCAGACGGTGCACCTCAAGGTGTGCTGTGCACTGCAACGAGCAGGTGCTTGGAACCATGTTCTCCCTCCTTTACAGATCCGCAGCATGGCCCTGCTGGCTTACAGGACAGTCGAACCTCTTTTTAAATCCTTTATATTAAGTTCACTTGCTTGCGCGCTTACGACCGTGCAAATCTTTTGGTCGTTTTTTAACCCACTTCCCGTGATCCAATCGAGCTGACATTTTGCACACAGACTCGTGCGTGACAATTTATTTTCGTGAAATTTTTTTTCAAAAATTTTACACTTTTTAGGAAAAAATAAATTATATTTAATTACCAATTGCTTAATGGTGGCAGGCAATCATCTGACCCATAGGTGGCAGCCATCTCAAGCCAGAGGACGAGAGGACTCTAGCCGCCACGCATATAAAGGATTTATAGTGAAAAACTTTGTTTTTACGGGTTCATTTTTTTTAGTTATACCTGGGGGATTGGTTGGATATGGCTCTCTGCACGCCAAACCTGTTTGGTGAGTATAATATTGAGTATGTAATGGTGTCGGTGCTGCCAAGGCATACAAAAAGTAACCACTCATGTAGGACTAACTCCGACATTGAGGCACGTGACCTGATTCTATCAGCACAAAATAGAGGGACATTTGAGAATTGTTGCAATCGGGCCATGTTTTTTATGCTCCCTGTTGTGAGAAATGGTTGGTTATTACCAAAATCCCTAGTTGATGGTGGTGGTGGGTAAGAGTAACAGTTTTGCACAATGCTTTGGTGATGATTGTGAGGAGTATATTGCGCCTGGTGGTGGAGGTGAGGAGCGATTTCATGCCTGGACGTGTTCACAATAACCAGTCTTGCCCTTGGTGGTGGTATTTGTCATAAAAGCCATCTCATGCCTGGTGGTCTCACACTGAGTGGTAGCCATGGGTTGTGTGTTCACGGGTGATATCATCGTGCCCCTGGGCGAGTAGTGGTTGGTTTTGCTTGTCACGAGGAATGGCCTTGTGCCAGGTGTCAGTGGTTGTTACGGATGTGGCTGCTCGGAGAAATCTTGATTAACAAAAAAACCCACTACTTTGCCCATAATTGGCCTAGGCGGATCACATGAAACGACACCAGGGAAGTGTGCAAGTTGCATTCAATGACGTCACACCAGAGGCTTTAGCCTCCGAATTAAGTTGCTTTGAATTGAAAGACAACATTAATTATGCAATTATACTGCATGGCAAGTAGTCATGATGTTCCTGTCAAGTATCCGAGAGGGGGTCTATACATGATGTTGGGGGGGAGGGGGGTGCAGCATTTGGCTTGCCTTTGCTATTAAAAAAAAATTGCGGTGCGTCTGCCTTCCTGCCTGCAAGTCCACATGCCTCACGCAATTTTGTCAGTAAAATTGCACAAATCAGTGTAATGTGCTCTTGGCTTTCACAATATTCCAGTCATAAAGCATACAAGAGGGCATGAGTGGACATACGTGAGTATGGTTTTGTAATGAAATGTTCTCGTTTCAGCACAAGCCACGCTGTGCATTTGTTACCGGGCAACTCTTCCCACAAATCACTGACAAGTTTGGATGGTTTCAAAGAAGATTATTGTTGATAATTGGTTCTTTACCCTTCTATCTGGCAACAAAACTGACACCTTTTTGCAAGGAGTCATGTTTGCATAGACCGCAATACCTGCAGTCATAATACAAACAAAAGAACATAACTCTGATAATGTGCACTGTCCTTGAAGTTGATTGGTCCACACCCGAGACAGCTTTCCTTCGAGCCTAGTCTCATATGGGTTGGACCAGATGACGCCAAAAGGCGCACAACTCAAGGACAATGCACCATCAGAGTATGAGAGCTCGGGGCAAGCATCTACACTATGGGGACCTCATTTGCCAGTAAAAATATGATAATTGGTTCTTTACCCTTCTATCTGGCAACAAAACTGACACCTTTTTGCAAGGAGTCATGTTTGCATAGACCGCAATACCTGCAGTCATAATACAAACAAAAGAACATAACTCTGATAATGTGCACTGTCCTTGAAGTTGATTGGTCCACACCCGAGACAGCTTTCCTTCGAGCCTAGTCTCATATGGATTGGACCAGATGACGCCAAAAGGCGCACAACTCAAGGACAATGCACCATCAGAGTATGAGAGCTCGGGGCAAGCATCTACACTATGGGGACCTCATTTGCCAGTAAAAATATGATAATTGGTTCTTTACCCTTCTATCTGGCAACAAAACTGACACCTTTTTGCAAGGAGTCATGTTTGCATAGACCGCAATACCTGCAGTCATAATACAAACAAAAGAACATAACTCTGATAATGTGCACTGTCCTTGAAGTTGATTGGTCCACACCCGAGACAGCTTTCCTTCGAGCCTAGTCTCATATGGGTTGAACCAATTATCATATTTTTACTGGCAAATGAGGTCCCCATAGTGTAGATGCTTGCCCCGAGCTCTCATACTCTGATGGTGCATTGTCCTTGAGTTGTGCGCCTTTTGGCGTCATCTGGTCCAACCCATATGAGACTAGGCTCGAAGGAAAGCTGTCTCGGGTGTGGACCAATCAACTTCAAGGACAGTGCACATTATCAGAGTTATGTTCTTTTGTTTGTATTATGACTGCAGGTATTGCGGTCTATGCAAACATGACTCCTTGCAAAAAGGTGTCAGTTTTGTTGCCAGATAGAAGGGTAAAGAACCAATTATCATATTTTTACTGGCAAATGAGGTCCCCATAGTGTAGATGCTTGCCCCGAGCTCTCATACTCTGATGGTGCATTGTCCTTGAGTTGTGCGCCTTTTGGCGTCATCTGGTCCAACCCATATGAGACTAGGCTCGAAGGAAAGCTGTCTCGGGTGTGGACCAATCAACTTCAAGGACAGTGCACATTATCAGAGTTATGTTCTTTTGTTTGTATTATGACTGCAGGTATTGCGGTCTATGCAAACATGACTCCTTGCAAAAAGGTGTCAGTTTTGTTGCCAGATAGAAGGGTAAAGAACCAATTATCATATTTTTACTGGCAAATGAGGTCCCCATAGTGTAGATGCTTGCCCCGAGCTCTCATACTCTGATGGTGCATTGTCCTTGAGTTGTGCGCCTTTTGGCGTCATCTGGTCCAACCCATATGAGACTAGGCTCGAAGGAAAGCTGTCTCGGGTGTGGACCAATCAACTTCAAGGACAGTGCACATTATCAGAGTTATGTTCTTTTGTTTGTATTATGACTACAGGTATTGCGGTCTATGCAAACATGACTCCTTGCAAAAAGGTGTCAGTTTTGTTGCCAGATAGAAGGGTAAAGAACCAATTATCATATTTTTACTGGCAAATGAGGTCCCCATAGTGTAGATGCTTGCCCCGAGCTCTCATACTCTGATGGTGCATTGTCCTTGAGTTGTGCGCCTTTTGGCGTCATCTGGTCCAACCCATATGAGACTAGGCTCGAAGGAAAGCTGTCTCGGGTGTGGACCAATCAACTTCAAGGACAGTGCACATTATCAGAGTTATGTTCTTTTGTTT